AAAATTCAAGTTTCTTGATCAGTGTCTTGATCAGTTTTTGAACTAATCTACCGTGTGTTGATCGGTATGTTCATTGGGTATCAACATACATGCACCTGATCCAATTGATGCGAGCTGATTGGGTCATCAGCTCATGAATAATTAATGAGTTTGAGAAGGTTCTGTCAATTCCAAGCTCACCCATGCGCCCCCGGGTATTTGACTTTTTTTTCAGAAGGTGGCAAATGCTCCACCGTGGGGCAGCTGGCGCATGCAAAATCCTCATGGTGGGGTTGTGAGAAAAGTGCAAATGCTCCACCCATGGGAAAGCGTCAAGTTTGATTTTGTTTGTTATTCATGTACTCAGCTTTAAGGTATTGTATTGTATTGAAAAAGACGATGTTTGAAGAGAAAACTCATAAAAGAAGGCTTATCCCTTCAAACAAAAATGCGATCTGTTTTTGTTATAAAAATGCCAATAATTTACTTTCGGAAAATTCTATCAAACTTTCTAGGCCCTTTTGTCTTAACTAACGGCCCACGCCCTACTTGCATCTCCTCTCGATTCTCTCGCATGTGGAGACCAACATGATGTTTTTGAGGGTAGTGGGGCACGAACTTGTTTCCAATGGGTTAAATCTCAGTAAAGAATTTACATCTACGTTCGTTACGTAGGTTAATCCTTTTGATGTTGAATAAAGGACGCTTTGTTTTTAAAAAGTACCCATTTGTAATTCTCTATATTTGACTAAATTGTCAAATGCCCTAAGCCCGGGCAACCCGTTGCGATCAAATACCTCATGGGTGGGGACCTACAACCAGTCAAATGCCCGTGGGGGGTTGGGAGGCATGAACGGGCTCGTAAATGACAGAGCCATTAGAGGTGCGCGTGAAAATCTGTTTACTTATCAGTGGAACGCGGTAGATCATTTAATGTAAACCTGCGAAAGTACCCTGTCCGGCCCTCGCTGGCGTTTATTTCTGAAATCCAGACCGAGCTGTTGTAAAACCTAACTAAATTCTGCTAAAATGCTCGAAAAAAAAGCTGGCATAATATACAAAAAAAGCTCAAATATCACGCTTCCGTTATGCAAATTGTTATCAATCAAATACAAATTGTTTTCAATGAAAACGGTTTAAATTTCAATATTTTACCACTACAAGTCTAACGTACAGACAATCCCACAGACAAAAAATAAACTTAGAAATGGTTTGAATAGCTAAAACTGTTAAATCACTCAGTCCCGAACTTCGGACGTTCTGTGGAAAGGCGCGGAAAATCACGGTGAATATTATGCGAATGGGTTACCTGTTAAACTTGGTCTGCTTTCACCAGCCTTTCTGGTCTTTTGAATTTCGTTTTCCTTTCTATGATATTCTCATAAAGAATCGTGCTATTAGTCACCTTAAACATTGGAGGCGTTTGAGGTATTTAAACTAGTAGGTTTAACAAGACGTTTTGATGTCCATCGAAATCAACAATTCGTGACCTTTGTAATGCAATGGGTGTCGCACCTGATAACTGAAATTGCAAGCTTTTCCTGGTGCCAGTCACGAGCTTACAATCTTATGGTGAAACACTTTATAGTATGCAGCCCACATGAAAAGCAAATACAGTGTATCGTTTTTGTGTTTATAATCTGTGTATAGTGTTGGAAACTAAATTTTGACAGCATGCACTCGCCATTCGAGAGCGAGTGGCGGTGTAATTTTCACTCGCCCAAAACGCTACCTCCCCTTACCCCCAAAAAATATCTGCAGTGATTCACAAACTATACACTTTTTTTCGGTGTCCCGTAATCACGGACGTCCAGCTTGCCATTTCATGTTGAGCTTTCTCCTTCTGGTCCATTTACGAGACTCCTCCTTGTCCTCCTGAGGACTGATCGAGGACCGATTTTACTGTTTAATCCTCGTTTTTAACTCCCATCAACTTTTGACACTCCTTCAGTGGAAATATCGTTTTCCACATTTCCGTAGTTTTAACTGAAAAACAGCCAAACGAAGGTCAGGGAAACCATATGATTATCGTTACGTCATCGTTTTCGAAAAGCTCCGTTTTCAAAATGTTTTCGTCCACACTAGAACGCAAAGCCGGCGTTTTCAAATTCCTCCGGTTTGAAGAGCGTTTCCTTTAAGTTCCGTTTTCGTAACGGACTAATGTGGGCGGTAGGCCTAGCCGTAGAAATAAAGCTGTGTTTTCAGATTTCTCTGGCGTACTGTGGACGGAAAGCATGGGCCCGGTGTATGTATAGGCCCCGTTACTCTCAAAACGCATCAAATGCTTAAGCATTTGATGCGTTTTCAGAGTAACGGGCCGGGGCCTATACGTACCCTGGGGGAGGGCCTCCCATATAGAAAAGACAGGGGTGCTTGTCTCAAAGTTTGAAAAGAACCCCTAAGAGGTACCAAGATCCTGGTTTGTAGGCGTGGCTTGAAATGTTTTTTTTTTACCCCTTAGACAGGTACCAGTTCTAAAACAACACATTATCTCCTGTCATATTCTTTCGGCTCAATACCCTAAAAGGTACCGCAAAGGTTCCTGCTGTGGACCTTTTGAGGCTGAACACCCTTAGCATCTTCCAGGCGTTCAGTTAGTTGGGGTGCAGCGCGAAGAACGGCGAGCGAAAAACTGGGGGAGAAGCGCGAAGAGAGAAAGCGAAAGAACGCCTGTGGGCAAATTTAACAAAAGGTCCTTCCGCCCACTTATGGACCGCCTACAGGGACCCGTAGCATGATCGCCGGCTGTGATTAGTCCGCTGGCAGCCGCTTTTTTTCTCTACGGGTCACTTGAACGAGTGTTTAATCATCGCGAACGCAAAATGGGGGTATGTGGCCGAGTAGGGAAGAAGGCGGGACAAGGGCGGTATGGCCGAGCAAAGAAGAAGGCGAGACAAGAAAAAAACCTTCTTCTCGTGCGTGCCGCGCCCATGTCTCGTCCCATTCCCTTTTAAGATAAAGAGTGCTCGCCTCATAACCCCAGCTGAATTTCGAGAGAAAAACAGACTGTCAGCAGTCTAGCTTGTGGTTTTCAGTTATTATTAGCAGATGTGTTGAGAAATAATTCTCCAGAATTGTAGAAAGAGAATCGCTGAAAGCGCCAAAACAACAAACGAACGCCAGATTGCTGACTGGGTATACTCGTTCCGCGAAGCGTGCTAACACCTTCTCAGGAGATCGACAGGAATCGACTGAAAAATCACGGCGTTCTTTCTCGAAGTAGAGCTGCGGCTTTCTCTGAAGAAAAATAGGACGGAGATAAATATGATATCCGTAATAAGGAAGCAACATACTGTACTTGCAAATAGTTCTAATCAAACAGCGGGGCCCTAATAACACAACATACAAGTTCCCTTCACAAACACGTGTGAAGCAAAGATAGGTCGAGAGACCGAAAAGAGAACGGCAAATGTTAAAATGTCACGAACCGTGGGGGTCGTCCAGTTTACACTGACCGCCGCCATATCACATTTCTCTTCTGCGTCAGAAACGTTTGAGTGGTGACAAAACCTGTCAAAATTGACCAATCAGAGGGTATACCAGATCCTGGTATACCTGAACAACCTTTTGTTAAGGTTACTGTGGACTCTTCAAGGGCCGATTTTGTCCAAAAGTCCAAAATATTTTTTCACAGCAAATTCTAACGAAAATTATTTTAAAAGCTTTAGGTGGCTTACTGCAGTTTTGATGGATTATAACAGCCCAACTTCTGACTCTCTTAAAAAAATGTTCCAAGATGTTTTTCCCTTCTCTATTTACTGTTTACTGAAGTCTTTTACCATTCTATGTGAAACTTGAACAATTAAACGTCAACAAATGGCCAAAATGAACGACCGGGTACTTAAGGATAGACTGGGCACTAGTAGGTTAAATCACGTTTTTCTCAAAATCTACCAGTATGACCCCACCTCAAAATTCCAGGAATAAGAAATTGGCTCTGATTTAACATTCATGCAAAGTCAAAATAAAAATTTGTAAGACAGATTTTGAGCTATTTTTGATTTCACATTTTCTTAGTTTGCGAAAAATTTGTCTTACAGATTTTTATTTTTATTTTATTTTACCGCTGGCACTCCTCTTGAAACAAGAAGAGTTAACAAATCGAATGTGGTTTAGCGTTGTCTGTACTCTTATCGACAACGATATGCGTCATCACAGTGCTCAAAACGCGCCTCGTGAGTCCACAACAAACTTGGCGTGACCAAGAGCATGACACATTGGCACGAGCAGTCTGGACTCTTATCAACAATGGCAAATTAGCCAATCAGACTGGGAGATTAGTGGCAATTGTGGTAAGACACTAATTAACGGCAATCTTTTCGTCTGAGAAAGTTTTACTCTAAGAATCGAAACGCCCCGGGACTATAAACCTTGGATTCCAACAACCTTTTTCCAAGTTTTCTTTGAACTATTTCGCCCTCTGAACTTCTTTTTCAAAATCTAACTGCGGAAAAGATTGCTCTTTGGGTTCCATACCGAGCAACCTTGCCTAGCAAGTGTTGCGCATGGCAAATATAATTATGCAAATGTAATACCGTATGTCATACCGTACGTTTTTAATAGCCTCCTCCGGGCGTTCAGTTAGTTGGGGCGAAAGAACGCCTGTAGGCAAATTTAAAACAAAAGGTCCTTCCACACACTTATAGACCTCCTACAGGACCCGTAACATGACCGCCAGCTTGTGGTTTTCAGTTGTCAACAGGTCTCAGCAGATATGTTGAGAAGTAATTCTCCGGGATTGCAGAAAGAAAATTGCTGAAAGCGCCAAGACTATACAAACTAACGCTAGATCGCCGACTGGAGATGCTCCTTCCGCGAAGCGTGCTAACACTAACTCAGGAGATCGACGGGAATCGTGCAGGCCCGTTCAAGCCCGACCCATTTTACACTGACCACCGCTATATCGCATTTCACTACGCAATGTAAACTTTAATAAAAAAATAGGACTGAGCGCAAATTTGAATATTATCCCACCTGTGTAATGGTTTTATGACAGCTTAGTTTTGACTCCTTTCCGTCAATATGCTAGCATACAAATACGTGATATAAACTCACGCAAGGTAGATATTTCGTTTCAAAAGGCAGCCTTGGCACGGAACAGTGAACACATTACGTTTCTCTAATCGTTCAAATAACAAAGGTAGGTACAGCTCTTTATTTCTTTGCTCAGAACCGCGTTAAAAAACTATCTCCGTGTTTTTGTAATTTTCCGAATTTACGTATGAATATCATGAGTGAACTTCAGCTATCGATGGCAGCGGTAAAAGACATAAATTTGCAAAAATCGAAAAAAAAAAAAAACTTCCTGTACAAACCCTACTTTTTTCGTGTTTAAAATTCATTTCCCGCCGGATTCGATGTACGGGGAATTATCTAGAATATTTCACCGAAGGAAATTCAAGAAAAACGCAATAAAGCCATGGACACGGTAAAAAACTCGCTTGTTTGGGTATTTTTAATTCAAGACTAAAAGCCAAAATTGTAACAGAGATGATTAAATAAAACACTTCCATCTTTGCATATTACATGCAATAAGTTTGAGAGGACTGGGTGTAAAAACGAACGTACATTATGGAGCCACCTTAAGAAGACAGGTCTTTCTGTAGGAATCCTGATTCACAACCAAACATGAAACATTATCAAAAACATCGACCGACAATCCTGGCCAACATTTCAAATACTATTTCCACTTTACTTATCATTTGTTATTCATTTTCATTTGTCGACAAACTCACTTCTTGGAGTCAAAAATGCGTTAAATTTAATTTTGTCGCCAACAAAGAGTAGAGATATTTTAATCGAGAAAGGAAATAATTCGGCTATTGAGGTGAAAGTTGCAATTCCTTGCAACGGAGTTTTAAAGACTTCCTGTAATAATTAAACGATGGGGTTGAGTTTAAAAAACGTTGTTAACTGATATCGTCGCATTTCTATCTAAGTGCTAAGATGTTCACAAAACTAATTTGCGGACTGTTCATTAAGATCGACGACAGATCCTACATGAAGACATTTGCAACTTGAGTTTTAATTAAATTATGAATTACTTATTTTTCATGTGCTGGTGGCAAACCAAATACGTTATGTTTTTTTTTTCAGTTTCTACTGGATAACTGTGTCTTATGTTTCCTGTCTACAACCATCGCTATAAATTTGGAATAACAGTTTTCTTCTCGGTAAAACCTCGATTCCTTTACTCTAACCTGGTCATAGAAACACTTAATGCGTTCGCCCGGGTTAAATTCGACTTGCCAAGAGGGTCTTGGAAAAGTCGTTTTGTTTCCGGCAGCCCTCATTGCGCCACCAGCCTGCTTGAACCCCGGCCCCGTTGTTTCGGTAATTTTGACTCGAAATCCCCATTTCCTTTGGATTTGTTCTTCAGTCATTTACTATCGGTTATTTCGAACTATTTTCCGTTTCCTCTGAGGGTTCGAAATAGCGAGGTTCAACTGTGTCAATAAATTTTGCTAAGTTTATTCACACCGAGCTGTCGTTGACAACCCTGCTCAAACCTCCTCGTAAAAAAGAGAGAGAGAAAAAAATTAATGTAAAGTTTTCAATTCTTTCCTTTGTGATCCATCGGGGAGTTAAAAAAAAAATACAAAATGACCTCTTAAGTGTTTTTGTTGTTACTGATTTTGTTTTTGTTTTTTAATCTGTACAGTTAAAACTTGCGTACAGAACGCTAGATTTTTCAAAGTCGTCCCCAAAAAGATTTGTAAGTAGAGGAGTAGAGGACATTACACAGGGGCGCGAAGCAGAGGTCTTGTTGCTCTTTTTCGATTTCATGCTGAAATACAGTACGGTGCTTACAAGTACTGTTGGCGTCTTATTTCCAAGCACACCGCCCGGTAAGACTCTTCAATTTCAAATTCTGTCTGTGCATCGGGTCTATTTGGCAAGCTTAACTGCGCATTTTAAGTTGCCGCTCGGCGGCTGAAATTTTTTTTCCGTTTTCTCTCCTTTCTTCTGCACCTGCAAGGTTAAATTAGGTAACTCAAATTAACAAACATCAGCGTATTGACACACTTTTCATAGTCACCTACCTATGATCCGACAGTTCATGACTATTCATAAAGAAGCCCGTTTCCAATAAGCAGTCCTGTTTAATTTCCTCAACCCGTAAAATTCAAAAAAGCAAAAGGGACGCTACACACACACAAGAACGCAGTGCGGACCTCTTTTTAACTTTCTTCAAAGGCTCTGATACTGATCGTGAAGAAGTGAAAGGATATTATACCATTTATCCGCAAAAGATAATTTGCATATTTTAACTCTTCTCTGGTATAACAATAGTAATAACAACAAAAAAGAGCAGTTGTTGGCTTAATTTAGGTGAACAATGTTAGTCAAGGAGAGGCTTTTTGCCGAAATACAAAAATAACTGTTTACAACTGACATATTAAGCGGTTGCATGTGGATTTTAACATCGAAGGTACACCGATTAAAGACGAGAAAAAGGAAACAAATTATATGCTTAAGGTCATGAAGCGAGTTTGCACAACATAAATCTAAGATTAAGCGGACGCGAATAGATCTCGTCTATGGCGTATTAGTAGAATTCTACTGGTATACTAATGCAAATGCTGGGATCTGATTGGCTGAGCTAATCGTACACTATCAGTCATTAGTATAAATCTGCTAGCGTTCTATCACGAATGCCGTTCTCTAATTGGCTACGCTACTCAATATCTATTCTGTGAAAGATAGCGAGTAGCGTAGCAGTGTGCCCTAGTCAACAAAATGACGGCCGCTTCTTTTCGTTTTCAAAGTGTCTGTGAAGAGGATTTAGATAAAGTTTTGAACGACTAGTAGATTTATACTAATACAATTAGATTATTCACTCTCGATTTCTATGCGCGATCGTCAACTATCACTGACGCGAAAGAAATCTCAAGCTCATAATCTAATTGTTTATTAGAGTGCAATGGCTGTCGTTCGTCTACAAAATGGCGACTTTGTTTTCGTTTTCCCAAAGTTTTAGAGGAACATTTGTTACTTTCGTAACTCGTTTTCTTCTTTGTTTTGTTTAAATAACTATTACTTATTAACGATTATGTACATTTTTTAAGTTTTGCTATTCATGCTGTGATCAATGCAAGTTTCGCAATATAACCTTTGGAATCATGTAATTAGAGACACCACATTTTTATCAGTTTAGTTACGCCATCTACGTTTTCGTTGTTATTTTACGCCATCGCTATCATCGCTATCGTGTTAAGCTATCGTTCCTACCATTGCTACCCTCGCAGGAGCAAGATCAAAGTAAGTCTTTGCTACATATATTTTAGTTGTATTCGTGTCGTTATAGTTAAAGATTTACGTTCCATCGGTATCCTTGATTTATGTTTTGTATGTTAACTAGTATTAGCTTACATAAGCCTTTTGTATCGTTTTGCTTTTAGTTCGAACCACACAATCATAACCGTTACTACGACTTCACATCACAAGTTCATCTCTATTTTGTTATCCTGATTTCTATATTGTTGATTCATCGCTCCTTCTAATAAACGCTAACTATTGATTTTACTGTGACCTGGTTTCTTTGAATTGCAATGTGCGTTCGAGTGGTTGAAGCTCCTGTTTAAGGCATAATCTACACGTGGCTTCGCTCCTGGAAAGTCACAACATTTAGATGCAAATAGATAATGAAATTCCTGAGAAGACTAGAAAACGGCCATTAACGGTGTTTTGACTTATCACCTCATAGAAATCTCGAGCTCATAATCTAATTGTTAAGTAGAACATAATTATAATTCCCCGGCTGTGTGTTGATGAAACGGTTCTGCATTTGTTTCAGCTGAGAACTTCCAACATTTCATCAAAGACTTTGATAATGATTGTGAAGGAATTATATGACATTGATGTTCAGCCAGTTATCTGAGCTAATTTTCAATAAATTAATTGCAGTTAGTAACTGAAGAGAATTAAATTACAATTATATATGCAGTCAGTTCTTTTCTGGTATTCAGTTCCTTTCCTTTACATTAAGAATGAATTCGTGTTTCATTTTTATTTAAAACGGCCGTCAAAACAACTAAAGCCGGGGGTAAGATTTCAGAGTTTGACTGGAAAAGAGAAATCAATGGTTACTACCACATCCACGAGTTAACGACAGTTCCACTTTAATTTAGCATATCGATTAGTCGCGGCAAAGTTTGGACTAAGAACGACACTTTTAGCCGCTGCGTTTTCGTTTCGTTTTTCGAAATAATTTGGAATATTTGCGTCAAAGCGCGTTGAAAGGCACTTTATCTCTTTTCGGCTTAGCATGTGACTTTCCAAAGACAATAAATTATGCTTAGATGAACTTGACTGACTCAAGCATTTAAAGAGCTTGTGAGACATATTATGTGGTGAAATGTTTAACTATTTGGGTGTAACATTGAAGGAGATATTTGTTTTTAAAACAAATCTATTGTATTTAAAACCTGCAAAAAATCTGGGTGGTAAATACGCCAATGACCCAAGGCACTCTGTAATATGTTGAGTATTTAAATCCACCTCAAAAAAGTATTTAATACATCGGTTCTAATGCTAATCATGGCATGTACTTCCAATGTTCAGAGTTGATATCTTTGTAGCTTGAGCATAAACTGGAGCGGTTATGCTAATTAGACAATCAATGTCAACAAGATTCCCTATTAGCGCGAAATGAAACGAGGGGATTGTGGTAAGGAAGCGACTAACCACCCCCCCTCCTCCTCCTCCCCCGGTTTTATTTTTAAGAAGTTCTTTCACTTTGAAAGTAATTTTGTTTGTCAAAAAGACTTGCAACAGGTCCTCTAAACTTTATTGCTGTTTTGTTTGATTCACAGAACATGGTAGACAGCACCAACCTGTCTTTGACCGTACTTTATGTCATAACAATGATCGTAGCTTTGGTCGGCAATACACTGTTGATCTACATCGTGTGGAAAAAACCTGAAACAAGAAATCTGACAAGTTTCCTGTTTGTGAACATGGCGGTGGCTGATTTGCTGGTTGCACTGTTTCAGATGCCTATTAACATTACTCACTTTTATATCTCTGGAGTCTCTGATTTGTTCTGCCGGTTTGAATACTATGCTCATTTTGTCTCGATGATCGCCTCCATTTTCAGCCTTACTGTGATGGCATTTGATCGATATTTTGCTGTTGTGCACCCCTTCCGGCGGAGCATTTGGTTCAGGAAGCCTAAGATCATTATGCCGATTATTTGGATCTCATCCATGGCCTTGATGTCAATCGCACCAGTTGCATTCAGACTCGTCCGTGGCAAGTGTCGAGTTAAGGAATCTCTACTTTTTCCCTTCTATACTTACTTTTTTGTTGTCGGCTATCTCGTGCCCCTCACTGTTATCTCAGTTCTGTACACCCTAGTTGCTCGAAAACTGTGGCTCCACAAAGCGCCCGTGGATCATGACGTGAGTGAAAATCAACGAGTACAGGAAATCCCCAAGAAAAAAGTCATCCGAATGCTCGTCATTGTTGTGGTAGTGTTCGCAGTCTGCTGGCTTCCACTGCACGTGTATCAAATGGACGACGGCGTGAGCATGGTGAGGAACGGGCTCGAGCTTGGAGCGATGTGGCATCCTTATATAATTATCTACATTTGCTTCTGGCTCAGCCAGGCTAACAGCGCCATAAACCCGTGGCTGTACATTGGTCTGAACGGAAAGATGAAAGCAGCTTTCAAAAACATGATTCGGTGCCGCCATGAAGAAATTACTGGTCCAGGAGAACCAACTCAGTTAACCTTAAGAGAGACAGGAAGAAGCAGAGCGAGTGCCATCTAAAAGAGCTCCTTGATGGAAGCTACTGATTGTAAATAAAAGTTTGTTCTTCACCCAAAGTGAGTTTACCCTGGCTACCAGAGGTTTTTTCTCGAGCGCGGCGGACGGAAAAACTTCGCTTCGCTTCGAGCACGAGCGGCGAAGCCGCGAGAAAAAGGTTTTTCACGCGGGTCACAGTAGAGACATGACAGACACCGGAAACCGCGCAAGAGAAAAACCTCTGGCACCCAGGGTAAAGTGAGCTCTACCGCGTAACCAGAAATTCCGAACCGCGCGTTCGCAATAGACCTCAAGACTTAGAATTTTAACGGTATTTTAAACTTGCTGAAGAATAGAATGATCAGTATTGGATTCATATAAAACCAGTTTATTAAATTCTTACCAGTTTACCTAATATGTACAAAATGCTGCCGAAGGGAAGGAGCATGTAAGGAGTGTCAATCTACAGCAGGGGTTTTCCCACACAGAACTCAGGATCGTCGGATACTATATCATACTTCAAACTATAAAACAGACGCCTGGTTACGTGTAAAAATCAAAATTTTGCTTGCTGTTGTGGCAATTTACACAGTTAAACATCATCAGCAACACAAAACAACGTTGAACCTTTTTCACGAGTGATTACAACTGGTTTACTTCTACAAATCTGGTTTGAAAGCTTTAATACTTTAATACGGTAACCAAACGATAAAATTTTGAAAACTGACTTGTTTCTCTATCACGGCGGGCGCCTTCTGTTAGTATTAGTTGACTCCTCAAGAGTGTTTTGTAGGATATTATGGACTGACGCTCCTGTTGTTCCCGATAGCTTTACTTTCATTGCAGAATTACTTTGTTTTGGTAAATCAAACACTCGTTGCAGTTTTCTCGGTTATTACTTGCAGCGTTTTATTCCGAATCAATGTCCTTTACAACGCACAAAATGGCGCCTACCTATGGAGTTCCGTTGGGGACAAAAACATATCGATGATACCAACATGTTGAGAAACATAATACGGAAGTCGAAAATTGCAAAATGCATCGAAGTTAATAAAATACATAGTACGAGATTTGCAAAATAAAGATGTTGACTAACGACGAAATACTAAACAGATGTCGTGCGCCCCCCTCCCCCCAAAAAAACGAGTCGAGAGAAAAAAAGCTACGAGTTGAGAAAACAGAAACGTGAGTCGAGAACTAGAACGCTGACCAGTTGTCTTCTAGTCTATGGCTTCGTATAATACCTCGGAGAGAGTGGGTAAAGAGATCCAAAACGGTGTTGCGTTGAATTGGCTGTCCAATCTTCCGGATTTTTCCGTCTCCCTTGCTAGGCTTATGGAGTGCTCGGAAAGGCAGCTAAATTCAGCGTCACATGACAGTTTTATTTAGAATTTTTGTTCGGCACCTTGACGAGTACGTGGGGACGCTTTCAACTCTGACTTCAACTGTTTGCTGAGAATTACCAGACTCTTGGTTTTTAGCTTCACATCAAACTACCATTGCAGACCTCACAAACTTATGCAATCGTACGATTGATTCATCGATTGTTATCGGATATTTTGTCTCTTTACAAGTTACACTGATAAGACGTTTGACAAAATTTGTCTGTAATGGTTTTATTGAGTCATTTTCATATCTTCAAAGGCTGCTTATCCTTTATTTTCTTTTTATAATCATCAACAAAATAACAAGAAGAGAAACAACTAACGGAAACATTTTGTGCTTAACATCTTTCTTTGCTAGCTTAAAACACCGGAAGAAGATCAGGCCAGAGTACCATCTGAAGTCTCATTGTAGCGTCGGCATTAAGATGACAGAAGAAAAATAAACAACAGATTCGGTATTCTAGTGATTTCAATCATTTGCATTAGAAAACAAACATAAGAATAGATCTCAGAGAGGCCAAAAGGAAGATATAATCTAGTAGCATAGCAGTAATCACTTTGCCGCCCTAAATTGACCAGGAACAATACATGTAAGAGAAGAAGTAGTTTTCAGGATGCAGGTGATAATCTGCGTTTTACTAGTCTGCGTTCTACTGATAAGTTAGCAAAATACAGTCTGCCATCCTGTAAGCACCAAGCTTCAAAATTAAGAACTCACTTTATCAGAAGTTATCATTTATTTCCAACACCTATACTCACACCTGTACTCCTGAATTAAAAATTATCAAGTAAATAACAGAAAAAGACACAAAACCTGTAAAACATGAACAACAAGTTTAAGACAATTAGATACATGTACCTACTATTGGGCATGACACCCAGATAATGACTGTGACATCTTACTACCTTAGGCTTGCAGTGAAATAAAAGCTCTTGTCTTCAAATCTTTCCAGATGAAGTATCATATTTGGCTACAAGTCATTGAATTTCATGGGTTGCACATAGGAAATGTACCTCACTTTCCAATTACTTGCTGAATCAGGTAAAACAAATCTTCTGAATGTGTAATACACCATCCTAGGGATAGGGGCTGTGATTATCTTAATGTTTCCGAACTGTCTTTTAAAAACGTCATCTCCATTGTCCTTGTTTGACGCAAACATGTAAGCAACCTTGATATCTACGACTGCTTTCTCATAGCTTATTTCGTTGTCAACAAACCCAAGTTGTACTTTCTGTATGTTTGCTGATATTATCTGCTTCATTGTCACAACTGGTCCCAGGTTTTCAGTGTCTTTGCCATTTCTTATAGAGCTGGTCAACTCATCGGACAGTATTCCCTCCAATTCGCCGAAACTCCTCTTGTTGAGTAGGTCTGAGACAACACACAGTGCTTGCTTGGCCCCCCGTAGAAATTCCTTCTCTTCAAATTCACGATCGTAAAAGGTCTTAAAAGCCCAGAGATTCGCATTCTTTGCGATCCATCCAAAAGGTCCTTGAGTTATGGACACAACCGAAGACCTCATTTTCCTGTACACTTCGTCGTCATCCGGCGAATCTCTACCTCTTTCGGAGCAGAAGGTTCTCGTCATCCACCCAGAACAAAGAGATAGTGGTCTTCTAACTAAAGCATAACCTTTGTTTTCCAAAGAGAACGCTTTTGAATGTAAGTAAACCTTGTCCACATGTAGTTTCAGGAGTGTGGAACGAAATCGCTGAAAGCACAGTTGAACCGCCATCTTGGAATACCGGGTGAAGGCTCGGTTTTCAGCTACTGAAGGAGAGGTTGCTCAGCAGATGTTTATTTTTGGAGCAATACCTAATGCCGGTCACTGTTCAGTCATGTGAGTAAGTATGTAATTTCTTAGCTCCTTATAAATTTAGTGTAGGACGTAATGTGGTTCAGTTGCAGTTAAAGATCATAACGTTCCGAGGTGAGTTGTAAGTGTTTTATTAACCAAAGAGCTTTCAGTCATTCGAATCTTATTGCTTCGCTGGTGAAACGAATCGAAATCTGCAGATTGACACGAAATCATTATCTACATGCAGTTTCGAAGCTTAAGATGACATGTGCTTGGGAATTAGGGCAATCGTTACGTAATGTACAGAAGAAATGTTGGAATATATTCCCGGAATATATTTCAGTTCTAGGTCGTAAAACTGGAATAATTATTGCTCAAGCAATTTATTATGCATGTATCACTCACTGATTTCCCCCCGGGTCTTCTCCATCTATCTTGGAGAATATAGCTGCAGGGATGGCATCGTGGAACCCTAGGTGAGGGGAAAATTCAAACTATTATAGAAAAACTCAACAAGAACAGTTGAACACGTGGAATGAATAATTATTGACATCCAAAGTAGAGCTGTAGATTACAAGCAGCCCCTGCACAAACCCCTGGCCACCCACCAGCCAGCCCTGTGAGAGACTGCTCTTCAACAATATTGTCTTGCATGTATCTTAGCCAACATTACATTTAGCTATATATATGTTAGGCCATCTCCCTTTTTTTTCGTTCAGCATCAAAGGCATTTTCTGATTTTGGGTCAGTTGGTCAAGACAGAAAAGAATGCCAAAAATCCCTGAGGAGAGTTGAAACTGGCAATGTGCAGTTCAGATAATATCCATACTCCCCCTACAAAAGGGACTGGAATTTCCAGGTGGATGGGGGGTTCTGTAAGACCAAAAAATTTAAAGACATGTATGATGCTTAATTGGAATTTCCAGAGGGGTGGTGGGAAAAAATCTCTTCTGTCTAGGAAGTATGGATATTTTCTGGAACTACATGTACACAATATAAGAAACAACAAGATGTGGTTATGGAATGAACTGTAGATGCATGTGAACTGCAGCAGAAAACTGACAGAACATGACATTTTCTGTGTAGTTAAGGTGGCTCACAAGAGTTTCCAGCATTTTTTTGGCCCTTCTTTGATGAATCAATGTTACCACTCCTTTTCAGCTGATGCGATAATAATAGTTGCAAACAAATAAAATGCCTGAATGGTAAAACAAGTTATAGTCATTTTCATGATGCAAAAGGCCACCATAGCAACAACACATCCATTAAAAATGTACCCTTTAATTTTAACTTTGAGTGCTTATAATTCTAACGAGTTTGGTGAGTCATTTTTTATCATAATTTTGAATTGTAGTTAGCATGTTCTACACAACTTCTTTAATATTTTTACCACATTAATTTTGGAGAATGTAAGGTGGCTCTGAAACTGCTCTTACACTTTTATAAAACTTTACGTTAAGCTAAATTTTGACCTGATGATTAGAATTCAATAAAAAAAAAAACTTGGGGCTTGTGTTTTTGAATTTATAAGCACTGAAAACTGAAATTAAAGGTGCTGTTAGCAAATCAATAATATTAACCCCTCATTTTGTTTCTCATTCTTTTCCCACTTTTTCTTTTTTATTTTATTCACTTTTTCCTAACTTTCTATTCTTCTATTTATAAAAAAAAACATTTGTAACTATTGATAGACTGGCCTGCCTAGACTAGCACTAGCTACATGTATTCATGGGCCAGTCCAACTGTAAAGTGTAACTGATTAAGAAATAAAATAATTGATTGATTGATTGAGTCATACTATTACCATGGTAACTTACTTGTGTCAAGAAAAAAAACATCATAACTTGTTTACCAATATGAGAGGACTTCTTGATGCCATTAAAATTGAAGCATTAACTTAAAAAGAATGGTTAAAAATACTGATCTACATTGTTTTATCAATCTGGAAGTGCTGAAAAAAGTACCTGGGGTGACTAATAAATGCAGTATGTAATGAAAATGTCATTGCTTATAAAGTAAATTGTAATACATCTAAAATCTAGACTTTCACCCTGATTGTTTTCTGCACATGGGAAACATGATAAACATATAATCAACTTGACAGGTTTGTTTGTTTTATTTCTGAAGAAATGTCCTAATCTTGTAGTTATTGATATTTTTTCTTGCACAGGTAATTGCTGAGAGTAAATAGGCTTGCTCAATTTGCTTCTGAGTCTAGATATTGAGCTCAGCTTTCAAGAGCAAAATGGGAAAAGGAAGCCAATTTTGGCTGCTATTATGGAAAAATCTTGTCCTGCTAAAGAGAGCTCCAGTGCGAACATTCTTCCAAATTGCAATGCCACTCTTCTTCATAGTCGTCCTGGTTCTATTACGAGCGTTTGTCGTCAAAGATGAACGCAGACCAAATGTTACTTACTTTGCTTTTGATGTAAATGAACTGCCACCAGATTTGAATGGTGAAACACAGTGGAAAATGGCTTTTGCACCCAACACAAGTGATGTGCGACAGGTTATGGACATGGTTGCAAAACAACTGTCACTCGTTAAAGTCACTGGATTTCAGAATGAGGATGAAATGGTCAGAGTTCTGGTTAGCGAAGAACAAAATAGAAACAAACCATCTAATGATGCCTTGTTTCTTGGTGGAATTGCCTTCAATAAGAGTCTTAACAGTGGTGATATCATCTACAAAATTCGACTTAGTTCAAAATCGAAGAAAAAATATAACCAAAAGAAAGAGGGATTTGGCACAGACCCATATGCAAACTGGAATACTCAGTTTACGTTTCCAGTTTTTCAGGTTCCAGGACCTAGAGATGAAAACTCTACATATGGTGGGCCTCCTCATTATTTTGAGGAAGGATTTCTGTCTCTTCAACATGCTGTGGATTTTGCTATCATCAAGTACAAAGGGAACATGGCAGATGTGGACACAATAGTGTCTGTGAAGAGATTTCCGTACCCAGATTATATTCATGATCCTTTTATAGTGGCCATACAAACAACACTTCCTTTACTTTTGATGTTGTCTCTTATATTCACTGCCTTGAATATTGTGCGAGATATTGTCTATGAGAAAGAGAAGAAGCTGAAGGTGAGAAATTTGTATTGCAAACCAAGGCTGGAGCCAGTTGAAAATTCTTTATGGGGCATTATAAGAAACACTTTGTTCTAACTTATTCATTGTATTTTAATATGCAGTGGCTGTTAGCATGGTGCCCTACGGTGTCTTGTATTTCTTATTTATATGGTAGTCAGAATTTTTACTCAACTTATATCGCAATTACTAACTCTTTGCAATCCAAAATATTATTCGTGTGTTTTTATGAATTTTTTAAAAAGCTGTTGTTAGGTAGTTAGCACAGTTTGTTGGAGCCAGATTTACTTTCTTGATATAAACTAATTTAAATAATATTATTTTTTGTTAACAGGAATCAATGAAGATGATGGGTCTGAATGGTTGGCTTCACTGGCTGGCATGGTTCACAAAATACTTTATATTCCTCGTTATCACAATGGCATTAGCTGCAATTTTTTTCACAGTAAAATACAATGAGAATGGTCGTGTGTTAAACCAAAGCTCACCATCTCTCCTATTTGTTTTCTTTACACTGTATGCAATATCATCCATCATGTTCTGCTTCTGCGTCAGTGTGTTCTTCTCCAAGGCAAACATTGCTGCAGCTGCTGGGGGAATAATCTGGTTTGTTAATTACATTCCATACTTCTTTGTTGCACAGAGCTATGACACAATGAGCTTAGGAACCAAGGCAGCATCTTGCCTCCTTTCTAATGTTGCAATGTCATTGGGTGCTGAGTTGATAGGGAAATTTGAAGGAGCTGGTACAGGAGTTCAGTGGTCAAATCTCAATCACGGAACATCCATTGACGATGATTTTACTTTTGGTCTTGTCTTAGTGATGTTTGTGGTAGATTCATTTATTTATGGCTTGATTGCTTGGTATGTGGAGGCTGTCTTTCCTGGTGATTATGGAGTTCCACAACCCTGGTATTTCCCTGTCTTATCCACTTACTGGTGTGGAAAGAGCAAAGAGGTTAGAACCCTAGAGGTTAGAACTTTTACATGTATCTACTGAATATTTTTATCATCAGACAAGTTTTTTTATTTATGAAGTACTGTATTTAATATATAGATTTTTTTTTTTTACAGTATTCTTCACAATCCTGACCAATATACCAATCCTAAGTTGAGGATCCAAAGTGATCCTGTTGGTTCCTATTAATTTAAGGATTTCAACCAAGGCATGTTCTTTACAACTTCATGGTACAGAAACCAGAATACTTGAAGGAATCAGTGAGACTTTTGGACCCATCTAACCTTATCTTTTGCTTATTGTTTTCCCTGTAGGTAGAGATAAGTGATTTTCATAGTTTAGCAAATGGCATCAAATCTGGAATGTCTATACCTGAATTCCTAGAAAAGGAGCCAGTGGGTTTGGAACCAGGGATTGAAATAAGAAACCTCAAGAAAGTGTTCAACACTGAAAAAGGTGTGCAATTAAGATTTTTGTACAAGGCATATTTTATGTGAAAGGTTAAACTAGGCTTGCCTTGTTGGTTTGTAGAGCCAAATCAAATACTGTCACATCACACACAAAAAAAAAAGTTGTTAAAAAATAAACCTGCATAAATGTTTTGCTGTATCCAGAAATTTTACAGGGCTCACTTTGACTCCCTAAAGCTATGATTTTCAAATTGTTAAATTGCTAGACTGCATATTTGTGTGATAGTGAGGCCTTTTTGAGAAAAAGAATAGTGCAGTACATTGTATTTTCTTAGTTGTACAGTCATAGTGTCCATTCGAGTAGGTTACAGAAGGTTAGTTTTACAGAAAGTATGGGAGAAAAAGTTGGGCACCTGATGAGGTTGTCCATTTAAAACATTGCCATTCTTGTTTCTTACAGGAATTAACATAGCTGTTAATGGAGTGTCCCTGAATATGTATGAAGGTCAGATTACTGCATTGCTGGGACACAATGGAGCTGGGAAAACAACACTGATGTCCATGCTAACAGGACTCTTTCCTGCTACATCTGGCTCAGCACTTGTCAATGGATGCTCTATAAGTGACAATATTGCTGGAGTGCGCAGCAGTCTAGGCAGGATATTTTATTATTTTATGCAAGTTTCAATAATTATAATTAAATTGTGACTTTATCTCTGTGTATTTTCTCCCGGTATTTCAAACATTGATGTGTCCTTTATGATCAAGGTTAATTTCAGAGCTTCTCAAAATCATTTGAACAATTATTACTGTTTCCCTTTAACATTGCTTACTCCTCTTTCTTTCAGGTCTTTGCCCACAGCATGACGTGTTGTTTGACCGTCTGACTGTTGAGGAACATCTGTGGTTCTTTGCCAAGTTAAAGAACTGCCCATCTTGGCGGGTGAAAGATGAGATTGACAGAATGATCGAGTGTATTGGACTGACTGACAAGCGACACACGCAGGCCCGTGCACTGTCTGGTGGAATGAAAAGAAAGCTCTCTGTTGGAATAGCACTCATCGGTGACTCCAAGGTTTGAAGTCATCTTGTAGCTTCATGCCTTCCAGTACTGGCTTGCACTCCCCTAGAAATGATGGAAATTGAAATTCCTTCATTTTGTGTTTAAGCAGCTATGTCACAGATGGTGCTGTTTTCATTCATCATCATTTGTTTCCTGTCTGAATCCTTCCCAATGGGAACAATCCTTGTTCCACTTGNGCACGTGCACAGCTATTGTTTTGCTCATTAAACCTTTCGTTTAACGGCGTTTTCGTTGCCGTTGCCGTCGTGGTTTGCTTAAGCTCCCTACTGACCCATTCAAAACCTTATCAAACCGTTGGCTGTTAACAGGTTGTAATGTTGGATGAGCCAACATCTGGCATGGACCCGTCAGCTCGCAGGTTCACCTGGGATTTGTTGCAGCAACAGAAGGAAGGAAGGACCATCTTGCTCACCACTCACTTTATGGACGAAGCAGACATTCTTGGTGACAGGATCGCCATCATGGCCGAGGGGAACATCAAATGCTGTGGCTCTTCCCTTTTCCTCAAGAACAAATATGGTGTGGGCTACCACATGGTCATCGTAAAGGAGCCTAATTGTGATGTTTCCAGGGTTACTGCTTTGGTCACTAGTTACGTGCCTACAGCAAAAGTGGAGAGTAATATTGGTGAGTTTAAGGGTGCCAGACTGGATTAATGAACTGTTTCAACTGTTTCAAAGGTGTGGAATATACCACATATAATGTCCAAGTCCAAAAATTGAACTTAAACACTTCTGCAAAGGATTTAAAGTCAAAGAAAATGGCAAAGGAAGTACTTTTTAATAACTTTCATATGAATGTTCACACAACAGGGACTCGTCATCTTGCTTAAGAGAAGAATCACCTGGTACAGCATATAAACGGTACCACACGAAAGTACTGTTGAATGTTCAATAAGTTAATTAGACTTCATCCAAATACCACAAGTCCTTGAGTCATTAAAAAGGGGAAAAGGTCAGTTTCAACATTTTGGGTAATTCATTTGTTCACCAGGTGCTGAACTGTCATATATTTTGCCAAGTGAAGCAACAGGCAAGTTTGAGGAACTCTTTATCGAGTTGGAAACGCGCCGAAAGGATCTTGGAATCGCCAGTTATGGCGCTTCAGTTACCACGATGGAAGAAGTATTCCTCAAGGTTGGGGAAGAAATGGACAGCACTCTTAGCGATAAGCTTCAACAGACCGGTTAGTTAGAATCTTGCGATATTTCTTTTTACCTGTTAACTTGAACACTCTCACCAATCAGGGTCAAGTTCTAACACACGTGACGTTTCCCGCGCTCGACAGCTGTTGCCCGATTTCGTTTCGATGTCTGATTGGTTTTTTCGACTTCCCCTCTGATTGGTTGATTGTGCAGTCTTTCTTATGATTGGCTACTAGCACGGCTAACACTTCTCAGTAATTTGGCGATTGGCTTCGTTATTTATCACCCTTTTGACGGCAGAAAGGCCGCAGTCCGTTCATCCAGCTGTTATAATTCGTATTTTGCTTGACGCAAATGTTATTTTGCTTTTCAGAAACTCCATCCGTTAACGGATTGCAAATGAATGGAGCTGTTCCAGTGGCAAGTGAAAGATCTTCAGTTCTAGCACGCATGGGCGCCTTCGGATCATCTAACGGTAGCTATGGCACGTTTGGCGACTACAACAGTTACGCGCACTCTTCGGGCTTCCGCCTGTTTCGTCAGCGATGGTACGCGATGTTTGTAAAACGATTGCTGCACACCAAGAGACACAAGCTGGCGATTGTATCCCAACTTGTTCTTCCTCTCGTGTTCACGCTGATTGCACTCATCAATGCAGAGACTTTACCTCAGCCCACGGACTCTCCACCGCTCACTCTGTCCACTCATAACTTCCTGAAGAACTATGTACCCTGGTCGGCAGACGGGTAAGTGATTTAGCTTCTGAGGAAGATTGCAAAAAGTGGCTTTCTCGTGATTCTACTCGGCCCGTTTGATTGACTGCTGAAATTTGTTACGAGTTCGCTTTGGCCTAGCCGCCTTTCTTGGCTTTGTAATTGGCTAAGAAAAAAACGTGCTATGTGTTCTAACGTCAAGGAGCGTAGAGTTAGCTTTGAAGCTCAAGTAGTTTCTCCCTAAATGAAAGGTGGTCAGAAGGAGAATCAGTGCATTTGTTATCAAATGAAAAATGCATGTTTTTGGAGACATTTCAGCTATTTCAACTACACACAGTTACAGATGCCTGAGGTACGCTGGTGAAGAATTTCTAAATTTCATTGCAAAGAACTGATAGCTTCTAGTAAATATTTCAAAATCTCGTTAAAATTTTTTAGTCATGTAGAAAGAGATTATCAAGGTAAGAGAGTGAACCCCCCATATAGGTCCTCTACCTAACGTAATCCCTCCTAAGTTATTTTTAGACATTGTTCCCAGTTCTTCCGCGGATATTACTCGCTCGTTGCGCGGATGTTTCCGTCGAGGATCTGTTTATGTTTCGTTTCGTTTCGTTTGAAAGAAAAGGAAAACCTCCAACGCTGTGAAGATGTCTTCTTTGCTATTTTGATTACAAGCAAAGGAGCTTCGGCTCTCGGTATGTTTTAATACATTTCGAAACTTAAATAGGAGTTTAAAATAAGAGACGGATGTCCCCTGCACAAAAAATAATAACTGAATGAACGGCAGAGAAATGTTTAAACAAACGAGTGCAAAGCAAGTGTGCTCAATTATACTCCCTAAAACCCAATAAACGGCAAAATAATAAACAGCCAAACGAGCACAAAACAAACGAAAGCCCGGCCAAAAAAAAAGGCGGCTGAGAGTGCAGAAAACTTCTCTGGTATGAAACGAAACCAAAACATATAAAATGACGTTCCCGCCATTTCGTCTCAGGTAGTTTCGAGAAAGTCGCTTCGGCTGTCCACGCATCGCGCGAGTAACATCCTCGGAAGAACTGGGTACCATGTCTAAAAATAACTTAAGAGGGATTACCTTGGGTAGAAGGCCTGTATGAGGGATTCACTCTCTTACCTCGATAATCTCTTGTCATGTAGGTGTTATTTGGCCTCATATGTTGACAATAATGATAATAAAGTGATTTTTTCCAAGAATGTTGTTTATTTCCGATCGTGATTGTTTAATACACGAGAATTTTCGCCATTGAATCTTTTCTTATTAATTTTGTCTTTATTCAACAGTTTCAGTGACGCACGTTACCTAGCGAATAATTACACAACTCAGTGGTCTGATGACAAGACACATCCTATCCACGTGACTGGTGACATGGACCATTACTTGACGAGTCAAGCTCTGGAAATGGGGCTCGGTGACTTCAACAGGAAAGATTTGATTGCTGCCACTTTTATGAAGCATAATGACAAAGGTAATCGGGCCGAATCAGGTTGTTTGTGTCTGTCTGTCTGTCTGTCTGTCTGTGTCCCTCTATTTATCTGTCTATAGTCAATCTGTCTACCTGTCTTTTTGATGCGCGCCTTCATCGATAAGTTGAAATTCTGGGAATTTAAGACAGCGCTTTAAAAAGAAATGTTTCAATTCCAGTAAGTACATATGTCAAAGTGGTCAACTATGAACTGTCGTTTCTGGCTTGTGCGTAGTCTTACAAAGCAATAAAGCAGGTCTCAGTAGAATTTGCAATCTAAAGTAATACCTTTTTGGAGTCCCATAGCTCCCATAGCTTAAAGCTTTGGCTCCCTGTATCTGAGGTCATGTTTACCAAGCTTTATGACTAATATTGAACCCATGAACTACAGATCATAGCGGCCATGCGAAACCCAACCCCAACCTGCTTTCTTTTTGCATGTTTTTAACTTGATTGACTCTTCAAAGAGGAAATAATTCCATGTTGCAATCTATTAACATTGTTTCTGCGATTGTTGATCCTGTTTGTTTTTCTTTTCGCAGTTAATGCGACCGGGTGGTTCAATAACCAAGCCTACCATTCTATCGCCGTGTCTCTTGCGGCTGCAGATAACGCCATCTTGCGTTCTACTCTTGGAACCAACTTCTCATTAACGACCATCAACCACCCACTGCCAAGAACAGCACAAGAATCCATCAGTGATTTACAACGGTGAGTCAGTCAGAAAACGCTTAGTCCAGTGGTGTTCAGTCTTCGACGAGCGCGAAGCGTATGGAAGAACCTGAGCACAAGTCCATTTACGTCACGCGTGATAGGCTGATACTTGTAGAGTGTGATTTTTTTGAAACGACTGCAAAACAGTCGCCAATTTTTCTCTCGAGATGTTTAAGATGGGGCTGCGATACGGACTGTTCTGCCAGCACTCTGTTAAAGATGAATCGTTGTAATATATCCGTCATCTCTGCTAGCGTTGTTCAGTTCCGGTAATGTTTAAATCTAAACCTTTCTGTGTTTCACATGTAAGAACACATTCGTGACACTTTGACACTCATGAGATTAATGTCAACGTCTACTTTACTTCTTAACTTTCGCGGTCACTTGAAGACATTGTGATGCTGTAATGCGAAATTCTCCGAACTAATATCAAGAGCAATGTAAGGCAGTCACTATGAAGAATTAGTACTGAAATCCTGTGATTGAAAGGTTTTAATATGTTCTCATTGTTTCCCTTTAGCAATGGCCTCGGATTCAACATCGCGTTCAACGTGTTATTTGGCATGGCTTTCTTGGCTTCAAGCTTTGTTGTGTTTCTTGTCCAGGAACGAACGAACAAAGCCAAACACGTGCAGTTTGTCAGCGGTGTGGATCCAATAAGCTACTGGAATTCCGCCTACACGTGGGACTTGATCAACTTCCTTATCCCCACCCTCTCGATTTTAATCCTTGTGGCCGCTTTTGACGTCCCAGCTTACACAGGTCTGTAATCAAGTTGTTACTTCTACTTTTATCTTAGAGCAATGTTCTACTAAACCGAAACTAAGGTCATCACGTCTAACCAATCACAACAAACACAATAACGCGATGAACCAATCAGAGCTCGAAGAAAAATTGTGCCGCCGGTGTCAAGCGCGGGAAAATTGTAAACCTTCCCAAGCGCGGGAAAATTCGGGTAAGCCAAATGACCATTGGTTTTGGTTTTCTCCTGATTGGTTAATAAGACAGCAGTCTGTTCTGATTGGTTACAGTAAGAATTAAGCGAGTTTGAATGCAAAACGGAAACGAGCAGGCATAAATCAAATGGTAACATCCTGCTGCGAGCACACCTCGACGGATCGTGTTAAGTTAAAATGAAATATAATTTTCTTTTCTCTCTTCACAGGTCCTCGTCTAGGTTACTTGTTTCTCTTGTTGATGTTTTACGGCTGGGCCACTATTCCTCTCATGTATCTCTTCTCGTTCGTGTTTCGTACCGCTTCCACGGCCTTTGTAGTGCTATCTATTTTCAACATCATCACAGGGCTGGCTACACTTCTGACCGTCTTTATTCTAAGTATTCCAGGTAACTGCTGCGGCTTCAGCATGTGTTCTTTGCAGAATTGAAATTTTCTCACTTCCAAGTTCTTTTCCTCCTTCCCTTACAGGGATTTTTTTATGTCTGCTTTTCGATTAGTAACGACGTTTGTTTTATTTTGCGTTGTTGTATTTGGAGACTTAACAACATTTTTTGGTGATTTACATTTAGTTACTACAACAAGCAAAGATTTTTGGTTTGGTATTATTATCAAGATTACGACAACAATAATGCGAGTTGGCCCAGGACTTATTCTTTTATTTGGAAACAAGCGGGAGTGCGTCGACCTGTGGAATCAGTTTCCTTATAGGGCACAAAAATTTACTATCGTGCTTTCGAAAAGATTGGACACAAAACCCCTCAGATAATATGAGCTCCCAAATACAGCCGACCCTTGGGATGATATGAGGCCCCAAATACAACCAACTAGTGGGATAATATGAGCCCCCAAATACAAGCGACTTCTGGGAAAATATGAGCTACAGAATACAACCAACTCCTGGGATAATATGAGCCCCCAACCGAGAATAAATTGAAGTCCTGTAATATTGCTATAGCCAGTCAAGCACAAAGTAGTATATTCTGACGTATTTTGTTTAGCAGTTGTTTCTTTTCTTTTGTTAGATCTAGACCTCTTAGACGTTGCCGACGCTCTGAAGTGGGCCTTCCTTGTTCTACCCAACTACAACCTCGGCCAGGGTATGGGTGACATGTTCAACAACTACAATGCTATAGAACTTTTCAACTCTGCTGTTGATATGTGTGTTACGACGTACCACATCCCCAGAACAAACTGCGAAGAAGAAATTCGAAAAATAGGCGGCGACAGGCTACAGTTTCAGGATAATTACCTGGCCTGGGACAATCCCGGCATCGGACGTTACCTGATATTTTTGGCCTGGGAAGGAATCTTTTTCTTCGCGCTAGTGCTGTTGATCGAGTATCGCGTGTTTGACGCGTGCACGAGAGTTTTGGCGCGTTTGCGTTCATACTCTACCGGAGTGTTTACAATGGAGGGGTCAACCTTGACTGACGATGAGGATGTTTTAGCGGAGAAAGAAAGAATCTTGACGTCTGAAGACAACGATGATGTGCTTGTTATCAAGGAGCTGAGTAAAGTCTTTGCTGGAAATGGCCGTAAGTTGTAGTTTTAACTGACAATTTCTGAGGACTGGCACAGTACAAATCGTATCTCGCCATAGGTTTTATCTGAGTTTATCCATTTCTGCAACGTTTCGAGCGCCATTTTTACCGTCGTTGTTCAGTATGTGATGGTAGTAGAGACGTTCCTTAAACTTGGATATTTCAACCACCAACAAGATGACAAATGTAGTTATTTGGAAAATAGCCCAAAGAAAATACGCGCGCTAGCTGATTGGTTCAAAATCGTGTTTCTATAACTCGATAAAAATGCAGAACTAGCTACGTCGAAAAAGCTGTGGAAACACTCGCCTTTCGGGTCGTGTTCCCACAGCATTTTTCGTTCTCCCCAACTTCTACTTGTGTTTCTATAACTCAACAGAAACACGGTATATATTTTCGGTTTCTTAAATGTATATCGTGGCTGTGATTAGGGGGGTTCCTAAGGGGGTAAGGGGAATACTGTTGAGTGCTAGCTAAAAATAGTAGCTGTTGAGTGTTTGCTAGAAATAGTAGCTACCGAAATATCGAAATAATTGCTGGCAAGAAAACTCTGTGGCAGCAAGCTGAAATATTATGGAGAAACCTGTATCGTGTTTTTGACTCCCAGGTCGTGGGCCATTGGTTGCAGTGGATCGTTTGAGCCTGGGTATCCCCATGAGTGAGTGTTTTGGTCTTCTTGGGATTAACGGCGCCGGAAAGACTACCACGTTTAGAATGTTGACTGGGGACGAGACCATGTCAGGGGGGACAGCTTTGGTGGAAGGGTTTGACATCAGAACCAACACGAACAGGGTTAGTTGCATTGATTCGTTCTCAGGATCGTTCTTCTTCCCGCACCGTGGGACAAAAAGAGACCTGGAACGAGGTCGTTGAGTGTCGATGATTGGAAGACTAAGTACCATTTTCTGCTTCCTATTGTGGACTTAGCCAGGAGTCCATTACTTTAAACGGCTCATTTACACTACAAAAACATTTTTGGCGTAGTTCGGATAATAATATTATGTGTCACCCTTCCCCCCCCCCCC